AGAGAGAGAGAGAGAGAGAGAGAGAGAGATTAAATGTGTACTATGTTTTTGCCATCATGTAATGGGTGAGGTATCACTTTTTTGCTGTGTAAGGTTTTTGTGTCTGATGTTCTGTAGTGAGTCTTAGTCTTGAGTTTCAATTTCATTTAAGAGAGCAATATCAAAGCGTCTGCTTCATCATGCTTATCAAGATAGCCGGCTTATGAAATGCCATTTCATTTAGAAATGCGAGGCCACATGCCCTATTTCACACCATAATTAGTTCAACGACGTTGCAGAAAGTGATGAGATTACAACATAATTGTATATAGAATGCGAAGTGGCACTGGAAATCTTATCAAAAGTTGCATCAAGGCTGAAAAAAGCTGCTTTAAAGTTTAAAAGTAAAGGTAGTTTTTGTAAAAGGAAAGCAGTCTACCTCGTGTCACTCACATTCCTTATTTTTTATGTAAAAGGAAATCTTTTTTAAAAAGGCAGAGTTGGGAGGGAGAGTTTTAAGTAATTTTGGGTTTGTAAATATTAATTTTTTTTTTAAATTTGTTACTGAAGTCGCTCAATGTTTTGCCTTGAAGCCTTCCACAGGAGTTACTGAGAGTAAAACAAAAAAAGTGTTCAGTATGTAGTTGCATATGTAATGCTATGCCACTCATTTTGCAGAAACCTCCACATCGTTAATCTAGTTTTACAAAGGGAAAGCTGCTGACTGGCTTTGTTTGAGAAGTTGTTTTGTTTGTTCATGTATAGCTGATTCCGTACATCTCATGTTCAATTTATCAGTGCTTTCAAAGTGGTTTATTCTGGTTTTACATTTGATATTTGGCAATGTAAGATATGGTAGAATAAACTTTACTGCTAATTTTAGAAAATTTCCTCAGATTTTGATAAAACTTCAGTACACAGACGTAAAACTAAAAACATATGTGTGTGATATTGGCTTATACAGACAGTTAATTAACTGACATGTACTAATTCTCGACTTTGTTTCTCCATAGGTCACAGTGATGCCATTATGGGAGCCATAATCCTCAATGACGATGCCTTAAACGAACGAATGCGATTTTTCCAAAACTGTTAGTATGTTCATCAATACTAGTAATTCTAAATTTCTAAATAGATAGATAGGTTGGTAGATAGATAGATAGATGACTCATTTCTCTCGGGTGTCTACACTAATACTAACAGTTAATTTTAAAATCCAAATTGCTACACATTTTGTAGTTGTTGTTGTCTTTACTAAACACAAAAGCGCCAGTTGATAGAAATGGACAGGGTCTAAAAAAAAATAATTCTAAATTTGATTGGCTGTTTTTTTCCCACTTTAAACTCTTACAATTTTTTCTTTAATTAAAAAGATCTAGCAAAAATTTTGGATTCAGGAGGCTATTTATCTTTTTTTTTAAAAATCCACTTCTCCCAGTTGATTACTTCTACATAGAAAATAGACTTGATTCTTTTGAATTGTCGAGAAAAAAAAAATGGAAAAAATCAGCACTTTCAAATGTAAATGTGTCACGATGTGGTGGAATCAGGCGCTCATCAATTTTGGGACATATGGAGTTATTAGTGTCTTCTTAAAATCTGCCTATTTACCTTGCTTTTGATGAAAAAAATAACCATTTATGTTGGATACAAGTCGAGGCATTGGTGATTGAAGGACATGGGAGTCGCCTAGTTTCAGAGGTAAAATTTGTGAGAAAATGGCCTCAAAGTTGAGTTATTTACTTAGCTTGAAAGTCCATGGAAACTGAAAATTTACATATTTTCTGCTTTAAATCAAGATTTTTCAGTAAAATCCACCCAGAAATGTTTTTGCATGAGAGTGGAGTAGTTTTGTTGTAGGGGTTTTTTTTTTTTGGGGGGGGGGGTGTATTTGCCTGCAAGACACACATCATTTTAATGAGAAAGTATGTTATGGCCAGATGTGATTTTGTTTGTCTTTTGTGTGCAGAAGATATTCAGAGACGTCTCTGGCGAGCACCCAGGAACTATTCGGAGGCGCACTCCCGCACACAGATTTACTGCTTTGGGGGGTCAAACTGTATATTGTCTGCTGCAGATCACACATATAGCCACTAAAACTATCGCAAATAATTATTTTCAAGAAAATTTCAAACCTAGCAGCAAAATATCAAATTATGGGTTAAATGAGGGGATCATGCCTCCCTGTAACCCCCCAGATTTTAAAACTTGGTCTAGAGGTACAAAGCATTTTGATTAGTCTACCTCCGTCTGAGACGTCTCTGGATAGATACTGCGCATAAAAGGTGTTGAGCCAAAAAACAAAAATTCGATTTAAAAAACCCAAACCTGCGGAAAAATGCCAATTTCTTAACTTTCAATGTTTTGACGAGCACCTGATGTCACCATGCTGCCTCACAAATGGGTGTTGCAATTTGCCGAAATCACTCCCATCTGTCCGCCATCTTTTCCATGTATTCCTTTTGCACAACATTGATGTTTTTTCTTTATCTTTACTGCAAGAGGCTATTTTTCTCTTGTCAGTTGGCTTTCAGCACACATCAGGTTTACCTGGAAAAGGTATCGCTCGTTGGTTTATGAGTGGTCAGGAAAAGCATATTATTTCTGCCAGCAATAGAATGACATCTTGTGAAAAATGTTGATGTATGTCATGTATTCAATTAACTGGATGTGCAAGATTGCTCTGTAAAGTGGAGGTTCCACTGTTGATAAATAAAATAGTGCTATAGAAAAACCCTCAGGAAACTATTATTGATTGAGGAGTTGCAAAGTTGTCCTTTAAAGTTTAACTGTTGGAGTGTACTTAATTTATTTTCTTTGCTTGTCAGAGGCACAGAAATCATTTCTCTTTCTGGAGATGTCTGTGTTATGCATTGCTACTTTAGTTGTTGTCGTTTCTTGGAGATGGATTTTGTTGTGCTGACTGGCTGTAATCTTCAACTCAATGCACAGCCTTCCAAAATTCTGCACTTGTTTGAAAGCTTCCCGCTGAGGGTGTTTGCAGAATATTTTTTTTTACTTTTTAAATAATTAAAGCCACATATTTGGGTTCGTATGGTTTGAGGGTGCACTTACAGGTCCTATCTCGCGTTTGTTTTAGTCTGCTTTTTCCTGGCTCTAGATGAACACTATTTGTGCATTGGTGTGCTTCTCTTTTTGAAACAAACTAGCTGTTATTCTTGAACTCGTAAGCTTATCTTTGTCCACAGCCAAGTCTTGATGAGCGAGCCACTTTGACCTCGCATCTTTCCTTCTTTCCGTCAGCCCTGGGAGCTGTTCCCTCTCCATTTGACTGCTACCTGGTGAACCGAGGCATGAAGACGCTGCCTGTGAGGATGAAGGAACACATGAAGAATGGACTGATAGTGGCCAAGTTCCTGGAGACTCACTCAGCCGTGGAGAAGGTCATTCATCCCGGTGAGATGTGTTGGTTGATTCATTGCTGTTTTCTTTTTTTTCAAATGTTTTCTACGAAGGATAAGACTGAGTTGGTGGAGGGTGGGGATTTTAAACAGTCAGGTCTCCCACAACAGGTCTTGATTTTTCAGTTGTTTCTCTTTGGGGGGGGGGGGGGGTTATATGTAACACTTTGTTGACATTTTAATTGGTGATGTTATATTTGCAGTTCTATTAGAAAGGCGGGGTGCTGATAACATTTCATAGCGGGCAATATTTGTTATGATAACATAGAGATTGCGATTTTGGAAGAGGTTGATAATATCTAGATCCAAGCTTGACTGAACAAAAATAAAAGTACAACAAATCTGTGAAAAAAAGTGTTGAATTCAAATGACATTTACTTGCTCTTTTGAAGGCAATGATGGTCTGTTTTTCCCTCCCAGGTGGGTTTGCACAATGGATAATTTTGGTTGAATAAGATGGGAGCGGTTAAATAGGTCGATCATTTTGTTACAATGTTTTGGTTTCTGATAGTCTGGAGCTTCGTTTGACAGATTGACAAGAAAAAGAACTAGACAGAAAATAATGTATGTCTGGAGACAATATGCGGCCCATATAGGCCTACCAGGGAGGTTTTTGTGGAATATATGTAGTGTTCCTGTATATATAACCCAGTCGGCAAGGACTGTTTATTGACTACTTGTAAGTTACAATATCAATAATTATTAAATGAATAATACTCTTTTTTACAAACTCTCACTCTCTAAAATGTACTTGTCTAAACTACCATACAATAAAAAGCTTAGTGGCTATTGCAAACATATGGATTATTTTGTTTATATTGCTAGTTTATTTTTGTGGATCACTCTTGGAAGGACTTGTCAATAAAACAATAAAGATATGTTGTCTTAAATAAGCAAGAACATGAGCTAAGTATCAAACACACAGGTCTTCTCAGCAGTTTTGATTGTGTCATTATAAATTGTTGTTTGTGATTGCCCTCAGGCCTCCCGACCCACCCTCAGTATGAATTGGGCAAGAGACAGATGATTGGCTACTCTGGCATGCTTGTCTTTTACATCAAGGGCGGTCTCGAGGAGGCTCGCACATTCCTCAAAGCACTCAAGGTATTTCTGACGTCATTTTTGGTGGTTGATCAGCAGTCTGCTGTGGTCTGCTCCTTTTCCTACTTTTTAGTGTTTCTGCCTTTGTTCCCCACAGTTGAGCTCTGTTAGAGACGCATCGGACATATGTGTCCAATAACTTGAGCTCCGTTGGAGATGCATCGGATACGTCCGATAGCCTTGGGCTCTGCTGGAGACGCATTGGACGTATACGTCTGATCGCATTTCTTGACCGTTATGGCAAGACAAATGAAGGTATTTCTGGGAACAAACTTTTGTTTGACATTTCTAAGCCATTTTATTTTGTATTTATTTACTTTTGACATATAGCGTCGTTTTTTAAAGTAATTTTCTGTGGTGATTTGTGAAGGCAGTCGAGGCGACAAGGAACACTGATCTTCGAGGAGTACCATACAAAGACGAACAATTCACAGTCACTGGAACTATTTCTTCACTATGTTTGGCCTGTAAATTATGTTGTGATGTGTTTTTAGCTACATTATAGTTATGTTGTATCTTTATCTTGTTTGTTTCTGCATTTACTGTTAACTTTCAGATAAAAATATTTTTTGGGCCTAATACACCATTTTTGTAGAGGTCCTGGCAAGTTTATCCAGGCAAATTTGATTAGATATAAGGCAAAGTCCTGATGTTGAACGGTAGATAGTGAAAACAGACTTTATGTCAAAAGGGGAAAAAAACGGCAGGCTTTCAAAGTTGACCCAAAATCGCGCCTCTCTGTGTGCAAAGCTGGTCCAAAAGCTGCGTCTCAAATGAGTTAAGTTTAGTAAAGGGCAGAGAGCTTTTGGTATTGAACATTTCCTCTCCACAAACCCACCATCCCTGACATTTCGTAAGTTCTGCGCGCGGCATGGAAATAATGCTTAGGGTCCCTCAAGACCTTTGATGTAATGAGTAGAGAAGTTCCGTCAGTTTGGATCTATCGCGAATAAGAACTAAAAAAAAATTTTTAAATGACCGCTTCAGGTCGAACATGCACAATGCGCAACCCTTTAAACGCCAACATAGTACAGATTCCAGTAGTCGAGTCCCATGTCTGTAGACGATCTGCAGCTAGGACTTTCCTACACCTCAACAGTCTGCATTCTCATGGCAGATCTTAACCTATTACTGTACCATTTTTATCTTCACTAGGCTGAGATGACATGGATCATGGCATGACAATGTGTTCAAGATTCCTTGATTTGTTTATATCTGTTGTTTTTTTAACTTTTTCACCATGCAGTTGCATGCGTCGTAAAACTCACTAAAACAAACATAACTTTTTCACTGACAATAGGATATATAAGCACAATGTGTATAAATGGGATGTTTGAGCTTTCCGTAGATCCTCCTTGTCCTAAATTAAAGTGTAAATGAAGAAGAAAAAAAAAGAAAGAGAAAGATTTACAGCTTATCCTCCTACTTTTAGCTCTTTTTTTGGGGAGGGGGGAGGTCGAGTGGACTTTTTGTTCCTGTTAAGGTTTTTAAACCATCACTCTAGTTGATCACACATAATGACAGTTTTTAATTGGTTAAATTAGTTCTTTTATTGCACAATGTTCTCATGAAAATTACCGCAAATTGTGTTGGATTAAGCTTGTGTGAGTCACACTTTATGAAACTTATATGTCTGATTTATTAGTAAACTAGTTTTGTTGCTCTCAGTTATCCCATTGCTATTGCAAGTTATCGTCGGCCTGGTGATAAAACCGTCTAACCCACAAAATATCAAAAAACTTTTTATTGGCCCTATCGATAGTAAATTGTCCATTTCATATG